AGGACTGTACTCAGGGCTACCTTACGCTATAACTGCGGGAGATTGCACAATCTTTCAGCGCAATGTGTTAGGTAAAGTAAACACGATATAACACACAGTACGTGGTCATGACCTAGGAACTCGTGACTTGTAATCTTTAATCGTCTGTTTATCAGCTCTGACGCAAAATTTCGCATCGGACTAAGATTTTAAAAATGTAGAAGGAATAATCATATAAAACAACGCCACAGCTGGGCAAGTCTGTGGTATCCATACAAATCACGTGGTACGTCGCGCCCTCTAGTGACAATGCTTTTCTGAAACGTATAATGGTATTAGGGGTGACGTATGCAGATCAGATTCTGGTCCCCGGCCGTCCATCAATATTTGAAACAAATTACTATTGTTGCTTATTTATAAATTTGCTATAAGTATAACCAGAGGTACATTACTTGGGGTTTGTAACTACGGTCACATGATACCAAGATCCCGTCACAATCTCGCTCTCGCATAAGCGTTCAAACTCAGAAAAATGCGAATGCGCATGCCCGAGGTAACTAGGATACTGGGATGTCCAGGTGGATCAAAATAGCTGCCCACGATATGACGGATTACGAGAACTATATTTTCTGTACATTTTCGATGTATTACATTTTTCACTATGATAGTGGCAAGAAAAGTTTTATTTTTTCATTACAAACCTTGAACATTGATATATGTCATGTCAGAAGGTCGTAGCCTCAGTCTCGCTATCTACGAGAAGAGACATGAATGGGATCTTGACATGATGTCACCATACAGTACTATGCGAGTTGCAAACCCCAAGTAATGTACCTCTGGTATAACCTAAATGTCAGAGTTGTTTATCTGCATTGTTTGCACTCACCTACGTCACAACAGCGTGTCGTCGTTAGAGGGCGTAACTTAAAGGAGCAGTATAATGGGAACGCTCTGCATCTTGATGATTTCCTACCATTTTATGTTGCATAATAGCATTACGGGAATTACCCGCCCATATATGATATTGGCACACACCGTGTTTCAACGCCAGTCAAGATGGGCATTTAATTAACGAGTCGAAATTGTTATTAATCAATTGTAATGGTTCCTTTGAGATTGATGATTCGATAGTGGTCGATTGTCGGGAGAAGTTTTTCGTCTTTGATATTATTTTTGTCTTTTTGGCGAAAATGGGTATAAATAATAAAGGTGTACTATTTCCGGCAAGTGTGATTTTGGACAAACCATCCACACAGACAATCGGCGTACAAAAACAGACGTGGCGTATCTAAGTCACCTGACCACCGACTCAGTAAGAGTTAGTACTGCGATTACCCCCAACCGTATGTCATTAAATATCACAGCAAACCGAATATAAAGGCATCAAATGTGGAATTCACAATAAGTATTTTATGCGCGTTTTGTGATTTGTTGCTCTATAAGAGAAAAGGGAAACGCTAAGCCATTATACAGCTTTATTACCAAGGACAAATACGTCATTTCCGGAAACGACGTTTCTGCTTACAATTTATTTAGTAGCATGTGCAGCATTATTGTAGATAACAATAGACTTTATTGTACAGGAATTCGGCTAGGTTGAGTCTGGGGATTGTGCATAATAATATTAATCATATATGCTATTCGACCCCAAAACATAAATCATTGTATCCAACCCAAGGAGTACAGCTATTCCATCCTACTGAATCGTCGACAAATTCGCTCACCGGGCTACGGTCGTGTCGCACGTTTAGAATATTATTTAGTTCTTCTTTTAATCAAGACTTACGGATTGGAGTTTTAATACTCGTCTGACCTTTTTGCTTCGGGTGACTTCACCAAGACCAAACCGGTGCACGTTTGCGTATAGTTTCCTACGTCATCTATGTACACAGTAACCATACTACGTGAATGGTAGCACCGGTAGGGGGTATAATAGTCAGCGACCGAGCTGACAACTTGCCAGCTGCGGAATACTTCACCCAGGATACCTAATCACAGGTACTGTTGTGGCATACAACGATGCATACCAGTTGAATTCATCGTAGTGCGATTGGTAAATGCCGAATTGGGCTAATTGGACTATATGATACCGAGTCGGTTTTTCAGTAGCTCAACAATGCTTGCTCACCGGACGTTAGCGGCACATAGCCTGAAACTTTAGCTGTGTTTTAGTTTTATAAACAGCGATAGCATATTATACGTGCTCAGTGAAGTATACGATAGCATAAACCAAAGGTTGTGATACAGTCGGGCGTCGTGGACGTGTTGCTGTTTATAAATGGCAGTTACCCCGACAGCGCCTATAATTTGATTGTCATTCGCTGTGTTTTCGGCGCGAACACTTCAGACTGTTTAAATACGCGTGATCCTGATAACACTGACAGATACGTTCGACTACGGTCGGTCACACAACAGACATGGCAATGTCGTTACCTACTGTACCCTCCGAATTTCAGCTGTTTCAGAAAGCACAGTCTTTGGGAATCGTCCAAAAGGAGGCGACTAACTTGGTTGGACAAAGCTCGCATCCCAGAGTGTCAACAAGTACCAAAGTTGAAGATTCCGTAAGCCCGATCGCAAGCAAACCACCGAGTGACAAAATAGTCAGAAACTATAAACTGAAGTTGCCAATAATACAGCATCCGTTTCGTGATCGTCCTGCAATCATATCTCGTTCTTTGCGTCCAGAATTGTCTGGAATTGGGACGATTTCGCTTAATACGTCCGTTATGCCGAAAGTATATTCGTCGCCCGACTACAGCGATGGACAATACGACGCGGAACCTCCGCGTAATTACATGTCCCATACCATCTCATGTGAGCGAAGCCATTCTAAAACAGTGGAACTGTTGCGGCTACCTACAATGAGGTCGAAAACAAACATGGAATACTTATTTAAGAAGAAGAAGAAGAAAGAGCAAGACAAGAAGAGAAACAAACACGTAAATCACTTGGACATCACCAACAGCGCTCCAGAATTTATTCTACCGAAAGAAATAACCACACGCAACCGTGGGATAGTTGAACAGCCTGAAGGAAACAAGAAACAGAACAACGATGAAGTGAACACGCCTTATAAGCCAGAAGGCTCCGCGATTACCACAACACAGAAGAGACCAAAATTTAATTTTCTACACGGGCCTGTAGACTTTTACACTGGAAAATATCCTTTAATTATTTTAGACCGAGAAATGCGAAAAAAACAACGAGCAGTTTTCAAAACACTTGGGATGAAGTCGAACTTCTCCAGGGAATGGCAAGTAGGAAGCGACGAGCTTACACGGTCGAAAACCGAACTACTGCCCGTCGAATCCTCGGTAGAGCATTGCAAAGAAAGGTATAAGACCGTGAATAATGTGTCGGACTGGATCGGCGGCTTACAATGTAAACAGAAGAAGCTACACAATAGGAAATTCCTGCCACCGAATACATCTTAAGCTGTGTCCATTACATTTTAATTGTGTTTTGAAGCTAATCACGTTTTGTGCTGCTTGCTTTTTATCTTAAGCTGGCGTTGACCCGTGTTAATACAACTTCGGCCGGGTAATTTTGTGTTACGCTCACTTTGGAAGTGCACACTTGTAAAACTTACGATACAGTAATATCGTGTCACCGTGTCGACACTTATTTG